CACAAACTGCCAGGAAATAATATTGTAATCTGTGAGGTGGAAGGCTTAAACAATGTATGTATTTGTGTGAGTGTACAGCATGGTCTGCACTTTGAAGAGACTGATATATCACAGCCAGCTGAGACACACATTTAAGTCCTGTACTGTGTCTGCTCTTTAATACTGGGCGTTATGTACAAGCCGATGGGTCACTCTATCTGTTTCAGGCGGGAAATGTGTGAAAAACATAAATAAACAATGGAAGTAAATTATTAGGATAATTATAGGTACCGATTTCACTGTTTGTGACTGATGTATCAATGACAATGTGCTACTTTTAAGTAAAAGGGACTGATGGCACAAAAATGAAAAGAAGATTTCATCAATGCAAAGAAAGTCATGAGGTCCAATGTTGTTTTGTATTATATTGACAAAAATAATGAAAAACATTCTGCAAAATAGCTTCTTTTGTATTACATTGAAAGTCATACAGGTTTGGAACAACATGGAGGAGTAAACTCAATTTTCATATTTGGGTAAACTGTCCCTTTAAGTTGTTCTCCTATCCTTCTATGTCTCCTATGCACAGAAATGAGAAAGCTGTAGCATTAGCTTGCATTAACATGAAAACTTAAAATATAACTCAAACATGACTCACACAATCCCATTCTAAAATCTTATTTCCCTGCACATTATTACCATTTGCATAAATCAGCCTGGATGTTTAATATTCATATACATTTACATTTATTCATTTAGCAGATGCTTTTATCCAAAGCGACTTATAAATACAACAAGCGATTCATCATAAAGAGGCAATAAACACGAAAAGTGCTAGTAATACAAAGTTTTAGACATCGTTTAGAATACGAAGGCATTAAGGAATAGTGAAAGCATAGAGGAAGATTTATTTATTTTTTATTTATATATTCTCAGATTTTTTTTGCAATGGTATTTGTAGCAGTATTTCACAATTAAAGAGGAAAGATATCAATATTAGTTTCTTGCCATAATATGTTTATAGTAGCATATGAATATGTGATGCGAATATGAATATGTGAATAATTCGACAAAAATTAGAGAGCTATGATATTAGTTTGCTTTAATATGCACATTTAAAATCCGACTCAAATATGACTAATGTTGACTATTGAACTGATTAATTGGGGATTATGAGAATGTTTCAAATAAACTTTATGTAATATATATATATATATATCCCAATGAATCAGTTCAATAGTCAACATTAGTCATATACATATTAAAGCAAACTAATATCATAGCGCTCTAATTTTTGTCGAATTATTCACATATTCATATTCGCTTCACATATTCATATATATATATATATATATACTATTTATTAATTAAATCAAAATTAAGTAAACAAATGAATGCAACGTTGACACGATTTACTAAAATGAGGGAATGAATTAAGAAGTTGTGGGATGTTTAATATTCCCAATTTTTATGAAGTAAAGCCAATTTTGTTTTTGTATAAAATTTTACAATTGTATAATTGTATGTAACATTACTTTCTACAATTAAAGTAGAAAGACATTACTTTAAGTTGCTTGCACATGAAGCATGTGGCCCACTTTACCCCAAAGCTACTATTTGGGGAAAAATGCTTAATTTAATAATTCACTGCCAGAAATTTTTATAGTATCATGTGAATCTATGTGGAGCTTATTAATTAATTTTCAGAGTGCTGTACTGTTAAAGCCTGGCAAAGTTTTGCCTCCCTACTTCCAACCAATACTGTACCTCTTGGCCTCACACCCATATGCTCAGAGACAAGCAGTCAGTCGTGCCTGTCAGAGGTTGTGCGTGGCAGAGTCAAGCTGTCTCCTCCTGAGTTTCTCTGTCCTCCTTTTGTTTAGCACTCTGTTCTCTATATAGCTGTTGAGCCGGACCTTTGCCGGTAATCCTTATAAAACATAAATGCGTGATATCTCCGCTTCTCTCTCTCACTCACTCTGTCTCTACATAAGACCACCCCATGGCCCTCATTACAAGTATCCCACTGCCAGCCGATGTCACTGTCTAATTACAATCACCCTTGATCTGCTAGATCATGACGTGAAAACTGCAGCTCACCGGTGTGCAGTGCCGAGGGTCTTTTCCCCGCAGGCGGTGTGCTGAGACGGGCCGACAGGACTGATGAGGACGCCGCTTGCGGCTCTCCCTCCACGCTGCACCGCGAGCCGACAGGCAGAGGATCATTAGTGAACCAGCTGTTAACAAGCAGCGACAGGACAGCCAATATCACTTCCTGTGTGAGTGACACGCCGTGGGTGGCGACGCGAGGAGGCCAGGTGGGCACAAGTTCATCTGATTTAAAACTCCAAATCACCTGCTTTGCCAAGTTTTGAAAAAGAATCAATTAATAATTAAGCAGCAAATGAATATATTTACTTAAATTTGAGGGTGTTGTCATTTTTTGTGAGCATAACAGCTTTTAATTTCTTTATTAAGAGTTGATGACCGAAATTATTATCAAATAATAATTTAATATTTAATATTATGATCATGTAAGCCTGATGGAAGTTGTTGTATGACTAAAATGTCGCTGGGATTTTTTGATTGGTGTGTTTTTTTCTTCTTCATTAGCTTTTGTCTATGCACTTATCTATAATTTTTCAAGTTCATTGATTTGTTGTTCATATTAATTATTATGATCATGTAAACCTGATGAAAGTCATATGGCTCCCTAAATTTTTTTCAATTTGTTTTTCTTCTTTGTCTTATGCACCTTTCTATAATTTTTCAGTTTCACTGATTTATTGTTAAAAATTCTTCATCGTTTACTTTTTTTTTTTCTTTTTTTTAAAGAATAGTCTGGGTGCCCGTTTTATTTTAGTATCATTGAGATACTATCATAGGTTTTTAGTTTTTATTTAATTTGGATCCATTTTTATTTTTATATTTTCAGTTTTCATGTATGTCTATATAGTTTTAAATTATCATTTAATTTGTAGTTTTAGTGATTTTAGTTCTTCAAAAATGAGAATTCTTTTTTCTTTTTTAGTTTTAGTTTTTTAAAGCCATACAATAGCTTTGCATACATTTTGATGTCAGTGATACAAAAAGCATTGGCTCCCATGAGTCATGTGACCAGAAGTCTTTGACATCAATGGCACCACATTTGATTTAAGAGCTACATCAGATATTTTAACAAATAATGTATTAAATCTCAGTCTGTTCCTCATACAATATTGTTTATGGCTTGAAATATATTGCATGAGTCTACTGCACCACATTTATTGTTCTTTTTTGTTATTTTAGTGCTTACCAACTCCAGTCCCCATTAGGAAAAGAGCAGCAGGATATTTTTCAAAAATTCTCGTTTTATGCTCCACATAAAATCATATGGATTTTGGTAGGACATGAGGGTGAGTCAATGATGAGAGAATTTACATTTTTGGCTGAACTATCCATTTAAGCGTGTTGAATGCCGGTTGCAGTTAGGTTTTCACATATTAAGCAACAGTGTATTTGTGTGTGTGTGTAAGTGTAAGTGTGTGTGTGTGTGTGTGTGTGTGTGTGTGTGTGTGTGAAAAGAAAGAGAGATTAGAAATGATGGTATGACACTCTCCCATCAGGACAACATCCATCACTGTCAGAGGTAGCAGACTAAGAGTAGCAGAGCTCCCAGACCACAGATTCAATTTCACTCCCTTGAGCCGTTCAGCCCTGCCCACACGTACAGACACCTTCCATCTAAATAATAGCTCCGCATAGATTTGAATTTTCACTCTGCACTCCAGAGCAGGGCCACAGTCCAAGTCTAACTTTAGGGGTTTTGTTCTAACACATCCCCCTTCTCTCACACCAGTATATGAAAATGTAAACAGCTCATTTGTTACAGAGAGTTTGTGCAAGTTCAGCTGCAGTTCGTACTCATTGTAAATGCATGAAAAAGAGGTCTTCACAATTAATTTTTGAGGTTTTCAATCAATGTAGACTAACATTGGATAATTTTTCTTTATGTTCTGTCATAATCGGATATTATAATTCACGCAGGCCCACGATTAGGTCTACAAATACACCTTCGCTCTTTGGTTTCCAATCAAACGCCAGCTACAGGGTCCAGCAGACGCCACCTCTGTGGAGTGTGATTGAGTGGACAGACACGCTTGACAGATTTGAAATTACAACTGGAGTGTGTGATCAAAGTTTTAAGGCCGTGGTCTTGTCTGGCTTTAAACCACCTTATGTCTCTATTGCTCATGCACAGGGGTCACAATTACATAACTGATCTCTCAGAAAAGCCACGTGGATTCATTGGTTGTGAAAATTGGCCGAGAACTGTGAACTGCAGTGTGGTGTAAGCTGATTAATGATTAATGTGCGGCTCTGCCACTTAAAAGGCAGAAAAGGTCAGCGGCTCTGCCAAAGGGTTCGGGGGTCTCAAAATACTTAGAGAAATGACACGGCAAATGGCAAAGAAAGGAAACGGTGGTCTTTCCACAGGTTTTCCCACTTGCAATTCATTTCTTCCTGTCATGATGTATGAATAAATCCATTTTAATCAGGAAAATAAATTACATTGCTAAATATTGCCATATTTTGGAGAGAAAGCAAAAACAACTATAGGCACCTAAATATATACAATGTAATTAAACATAACTGACATTTAAAAAGGAACGGATATAATACTCCAAAATAGATGATGTGATTGTGCACTGGCTTCAATCACTCATTAGGTGGAGCTGCACTTGAAATATAAGAGATTTGTGAGTGAACAGCGCCATCCAATGGGATTTCACTGTCACTGTCTTAGTATAGAGCATATATGGTTATTGATGAATATAATATAATACAATATATAATATTATGAATAATCTTTAATACAATAAATCATAGTCAATAACTTGCCAAATAAAAAATAAATACATTAATAAATATATGTATTTATTCAAATATTTACGTACCCACAGATGAAAATATCATCAAATATATTTATGCAAAATTGAGGACGTAGAGCTAATGACTGGAAGACAAAATATGGGCAGAGGTTTGATAAGGCAAGCTCTATTGAACACATTTTCAAAAGGGTTAATAGGCAGTGTCAGTCAGACTTCAAATCACGCTAGATTTCATAACACAAGAAGAATTTTCATCATAAAACACTCAAGGAATTAGCATCACCACACGCTGCAAATGTTCGGATCACAAATGATTAGTCCTTTGCGGGATGTGAACAGTTACACAGGTATTCTGTCAGGAGCAGTGCCATGCAAGACCATCATAGACAGTTTAATCTGAACTCAATGAGTGTTTAACAAAAGTGCAGCACTTATATTATGTGAATATCAACATGATATCAAAGACAGGACAATTTAATATCGAAATCTGATATTACTATTACAACACTACACCTATAAAATGACTGAACATTGAGTGCGTATTAGCTGCGCTACTCTGGCAGTTAATAGGTGAATCCGAAATCAAGTGGTCAGTGGGTGGCATTCCAAATAAGATCCATGTGATCTCCCAAGAGTGTCTTCGCCAATCTAATGTCATTACTTCTGACCCAAATTCCCACCAGTCACTAAGTACCAAACAACTAAAGTGAATTTCGAAGTACAAATCATACCTACATCAGCTAAAGTAGCGTTCGCTGTCGAAAAACAGCAACGCTGTGATTCTTAAGGCCCAGCCTTTCACAGTAGCTTCCTCAAAGCAAAGTCTCCTCCATCCGGATCCTTAAGGGAGAGAGGGATGCTCCGCTACTTTCAGTGTCAACCCCTCCATGCTCAGTTTTTAAAATCAGCCACTAGAGGGGGTATTTCCTGATTCTGTCACTGAAGTCTGTTATGTACCTTCCCCTTTGCCTTCTTCCTGCTTGGGTTCGGAGTCTGCAAAGCTCTGGCTTTTCTCTTCATCATTCCCTGCCTCTGAGAGCAAAACATAGAGAGTTTTGTTAGTGAAAACAAAAGCAGAAACAAAAGACAGATGGTTTTGATGAAAACTAGTGGATACTGAGGCTGTTTTGCAGTCGCTGCTATGGGGATGCCTTCAGCTAACAGGCCTATATTTGATAAAGCACATCCGTGTTTGTCTTGAGCTAAGAACTGGTGCAGGAAGCCACTAACATGCCCTCTAAACTCTCTAGTTTGCCTAAAGCAGGCTTGTCTGGTGCATTATTCATGGCCAGCCTGCCTCTCAGTGCCATATTACATTACTGCAGCGTTTTGATGACACTCCATGTTCTTTCTGAAGAAGTAACACTCAACTCTACTCACCCGCTTTGCTGATATTGAGCTCAGACAGAGTTTGGGAGAGTCCGCTAGCGTCCAGGCCGCCGGAGCTTCCCAGGATGTCGTGTACAGCATTGCGTCGGCCGGTCCTTCCAGAGGCGATGAAGTCTTCATATGTCACCTCGACATCAGTCATATCTAACGCGTTTCAACATAGCAGTGCCTGTGACAGAGAGAGATGTTCTTATTTAGACCCACTGTGATGTGCAGTTGCTTTGCAAGTCATTAAACCTTAAAAGTATATAGTCACAATTATTAACCTACTAAAAGGAATCCAAGCACAAAGAACATGAACAGCACTGCTGCATTAAAATGTCCTTTTAATTATAGTGTAATTATTACAATAGTTTTTGGCTTGCCTTACTGCTATACATTGGGCCACTGGTTCTCACAAATCCCTTTAAGTTCCATTTTTCACTTGCTGTGATGCAATGGTCTATTTTTATTTTTAGCAATGCATTTTTTTTTTTTTTATATAGACAGTTATTAGTGTAATAATAATATATGCTAATTAGAAATGTTTTACATATTTTGAAAATATTTATATATCATATATAATATTTATTTTTTAATAATCTATATATATATATATATATATATATATATATATAAAATCAAAATGCA